AAAGTTCATTAAAATTGAATTACTGGATGCTGAGATATTTACAAAAAACGATTTTTTGAGTTTCAGCAAAAAGGGGTGTTTTTGGCCAAAAGTCCATTATGACCTTTATATTAGATATCCGGGGTCCTGCTTGAATCTCACATTTTCATACCATGGAGCTTGCTTATCCATGGCTATAAATTCATAAAAACATTGTACTACTTTCCATAGCTCTTCATCTTGGTGTTGCGTAATAACAATTAGATCATCACACGGAATATATTGTTAAAATAGAAATGTGGCGCAGTAATTTTATGTAGATCAATTTTGTAGATCATTTCGTAGATCCCTTGATTTTTTCGATTTTCTTGATTTTCTTGATTTATTTGATAAATCTGATAAATTTGATATATTTGATTTATTTATTTTATTAATTTTATTTATTTTATTTGTTATATTTTATTTATTTGATATATTTATTTTATCTTATTTATTTATTTTATTTTATTTATTTTATTTATTTATTATATTTGATTTATTTATTTTATCAAATATTCTTGATTTTTATTTTATTATAAATAGTGATAGGATTTTACCAAGTAGGAGGAGTTAGTTAGTTAGTTAAGAATTGTATTGTAGTTTTCGAGTTATACGAAAAGAGTATTATTCCCAGTAGTATAATTCAAGATAGTTAATTTCGCAACCAAGAGATTATCTATATTTTTCATCATATCTAAAATCTTACATTATTTTAATAAAAAAAACCTATTTTCTTTAACTGAACATCCAACGTTATTTCACGTGATTATTTGTGATCAACTTAAAACTCTCCTATTAAGTTAAACTCCAGTTAACCTGTTAAAGCGTTAAAGTTTTTCAGTTGGCTTTAATCGTTGACAGGATAACAATATCTTTCACCAAAATTTTTGCTTCCGCCTTTTGGTATTTTATGACCACGTTTTTCACCAGACATCCATAGATATACTTTTGGATATTTACTTCCTAGGAGCTGATGTACTACCATCTTTGTCTTTCCTGACTCAGAGGTGCCCGCAACTCCTAGTCTAAATGGAAGTTTAGGAGCAAATGGATTCTGTTTTTTCAAAGGTACAGTTTCGTCTAATTTGCATAGCTCGTAATACTCCATAGTTTTTGAAAAGCTAGAATACCTATTCAAGAAACATATTTTTGTTAACCGCAAAGAAAAAAGTGCCCTAGCTAATAAATAGAATCTAACTTTATAGATGCTAGCTTTTTTTCGTAATTATAAAAATTGGAATGGAAGAGCGCCAAGCCGAAAGACCAGTTATTTATATCGATCCTCAAAAAGCGCGAGAGCTAGATCAAATCATACATCAGGAAATTTGTTTAGGTGTAATTTAGTGTAATATTTCGAAGGTGGTGTAAAATTTCGAAATATTACACTAAAAACGTAATATTACAAAAGTTTACGCTCTTAAATTTGAATAATTATAGTAATTTAAGAATATCTCGCTATCTACTGATCCAATCAAGACGATCTATAGCTCATTGGAATCAGCTCATCAAGATGGATCGAATGGTAGTAAAATCGTATCTTTACGTTAGATAGATGATTTTCTATTAATTTAAAACATTACTGCATACTATAGAGCGTTCTATCAACTGTAGAAATGCGATTTTACTACCATTCGATTCGTCTTGATGAGCTGATTCCAATGAGCTATAGATCGTCTTGATTGGATCAGTAGATAGCGAGATATTCTTAAATTACTATAATTATTCAAATTTAAGAGCGTAAACTTTTGTAATATTACGTTTTTAGTGTAATATTTCGAAATTTTACACCACCTTCAAAATATTACACTAAATTACGCCTAAACAAATTTCCTGATGTAGCAAAACAAATACCTACGATTAATATCGATCCCCAAAAAGCTTATAATTTAGACCAGTATCTTGCCTTGCAAAAACTATATTATCGTCCTGAAGGTCTGTATCAAAATGTTAAGGGATTGTGGGATGCTTGTAAAAAGCCGGCTACAGCTTTCCATTTATTAATGTAAAAAAATGGCTTGAGGGCCAAGCAATGTATCAAATTTTTCGTCCTTCACCAAAGCATATACCTTATGCCAGTTACTCTAAAATCACGAAGCCAAATACTGTGCATCAATGTGATTTAATCAAAATACCATATGATGAAAATGTGGATACAAATTTACCAGATGATGATAGCCCAATATATTACTATGTACTATTGGTTATAGACTGCGCGACTAGATATAAAGATTTCATTTTTTTAACATCAAAGAGCAGTGAGGAAGTTGCGGAAGCATTTAAGAGTATATATGATAATCCTGATAAACCTCTTAACTGGCCTCAAAAATTGCAATGTGATAAGGGCACTGAGTTTATGGGATACGTGACTTTATTAATGGATGAACATGGCGTTAAGATCCAAAGAATTATAGCACGTTTCAGGCATACAAGTTTCGCAATGATCGATCGTTATGCTAGATTATTCAAATATAGAGTTTTTAAAAATCAGTATTCGATAGAGTTTCTCCTACCTACTGGCAAGCGCTGTAGAGAATGTGAGCGGTTTGCAAGAAAAATTGTTAATAATATGAATGATAGCCCAACTCGATTGATTGGGATGAGTCCTAATGACGCCACAAAACTTGAGCAGATATATTCCAAACTATCAGTAAAATATAATCGCCCAATAGGTGTTGATGAACCACAACTACCAAAAAATACTACTATTCAATTTTTGCTTGCTCCTGGAGAGTGGGAAAACGATCCTTTCGAACGACGCAGAATAACAGATCTGATATAGTCTCCCAGCCTGCATAAGATTCGGAGAATTGTTGTTGGAAAGAATCCTCCAATGCCTATTTTATATTATTTAGATGAATCAGGACCCCAACGCTTTTTCGTGAGAGAACAATTGATGCATATTAAGGAAGAGCCCATGTTACCTCCTAGGTGAGTATTAGGAGATAACCGAATGCGTACAAGGCACTCCTTATAAAAGTTTCTAAGTCTACTACACAGTAAGGGATTGTAATAAGGATTACTCCTTCCCGATAGCATAACGCTTTCTTTTTCCAATCACGCCAAATTTGTGCATCTAGATCCATTTGCCCTTGCGGGTGAAAAAAAGGGACGATTTGATAGTGCTGATTACCGCTATATTCAAAAGCCAAGCCTAGCTCTTCATTATATCCATCTAGATGTAATCCCTCCAAGAATTTAGGTTTTCAGAGAGGAAATTTTTTATGCAATAAATCCTCAAATATATACCGGCATGTTCTTTCTGGTACATTTGGGCAAATGTTGCACCATCTATAATTCTGTTTCATATTTTTATATAGTGCCTCCTATTGATGACCCTTTTTACATGACCATAAATACGTATTAGGACTAACTTTGCCTAAGCATCTTTCTTCACATCTCTGGGCATATGCCAGAGCTTTAGTGTCAATATCATTATAATCTTTCATTTTATAGGCACAATAGAATAATATATGCAGAAATTTGCGGTAGTGATCATCAGCTCCAGACTAATTTATTCAGAACAAACAAGGGGGCGAGGCCCAGGCTTTTTTTGCGCAAGTAGCATGGTAGTATATGTAAGAAACTAGTATAAAATTACATAGAAACTTATAAATCTTAAAAATAAAAAATATATGTAATCAAATAAAACAATAATGCAGTAGTACCGATGTGGTAGTACCCAAAAGTAATACCCAAAAACAATCGATGCAGTATTACCCAAAAGTATACCTTCATAGCAACTATACAAGAAAGAGTTCTAAAAAGACAGGAGCAAAAAATAAGATATAAAATTGGTAGTAACCCAAGTTAGAATAATATATAGAAAGAAAATAAGAAATTACAACTTGGGATACTACCGGCGATAGGTAGGAAAGAGGTCAGAAAGGCAGAAAAGTTCAGGAGAATACACAAAAAAAGGATATGAAAGCTGTATAGTCTGAACTAATTCGGCACTTCGAGCCTCATCCTCGGCAATTAAAAGGGTTATGGAAGGCAGGATTGCAAGGACCCCGGATATCTCCAAAACAGGTCATAAGTCACACTTTCGGCAAATTGGCCCATTTTTCAGGGGCTCAAAAAATCGTTTTTTGTAAATATCTCGGCATCCAGTGGTCCAATTTTGATGAACTTTTTTTTAAATTGTAGAGCTAAATGAGGGCTACAAAATAAAAAAAAGTTCATTAAAATTGAATTACTGGATGCTGAGATATTTACAAAAAACAATTTTTTGAGTTTCAGCAAAAAGGGGTGTTTTTGGCCAAAAGTCCATTATGACCTTTATATTAGATATCCGGGGTCCTGGATTGCACATTTGGGTTACCAACTCGGCACTTCGTGCCTCATCCGGCAATCAAAAGGATCATAAAAGGCAGAATTGCACATCTGGGTCACCAACTCGGCACTTCGTGCCTCATCTGGCAATCAAATGGGCATCTTCAAACCTCCAACCAACCACCACTTCGAATGTGAGTATGTGACGGGAAGGTAACAGGGAAGAGACTGCAACCCAAGCCAGAAATGTTCTGGAAATGTTCTTGTCACTAGCCCATAACTATGAAAGGGTGTTCAGTGCCGTAATAGGATCACGTAACTGGCGCAGTAAGGCGCAGTACAAATTCGGCATCCAAGCTGGCCTGAAACTGGCAAACTAATAGAAACACTCAGGTTCCCAGCCAGTTCCATGACAGCTCCAGGATACTACCAGGACGCTACCAGGACGCTAATTTCTAAAGATCAGCCGAAATTATGGTATAAAGCTGGCCAAAATCTGAACTGCAAATTTACTGCGCCACCCGACGATTTTTTTACACCATTTCAGCAACTTAAAAGGCCAGCAAATGGGTCACACCCTCAACCTCAAATATGGCAACCAAAAGGGTCAAAGAGTGAAAAAACCAACTTTACTCCTATACAATTGTTAAAAGGCTTCAGAATGGAAAAACAAACCTCTACCCTGCTTAGCGACCAAACAGTCACAGACCAGTGAAAATAGATGGATAGCAATAAAGCATCAGAAGGGGCATAGACACGTAAAAATAAGTAAGTATGCATCAATATCTATAAGTAGGCATCACTATGGTGTAAGTAGATAGATTAAGTAGACATTACTATAATTATAGTGATGTCTACTTAATCTATCTACTTACTTGTACTTAAAAACTTAGTACAGTACATTTCCCAACCCTGACAGGAGTATTTTCAAAATTTTGTTATCCTACATACCCTGTTTTTAACATAACCTGTAATTCGATTTTAATAAAATTTATATTATTAGATTTATCTCGATGAGAAGATTCTAATGATAGTAAAATCGAATTCCTAGCTTCAATATTGATAGAGGTATGTCATAATATATTTTTACTTCAGTACTTATTAAAGTTTACTTGTGAGTTATATTAGTATTACTATAGCCCGCTATATATGAATAATATGATAGTTTATACTTAAATAATTATTTAAACTCAATATTTACACCTTTTTATAAACTTTTTGTCTGACATTAAAGAAAAAAAAAAGGAAAAAAAAGTTATGAAAGTTACAAAATTACTTGTTAATAGTTAAACGTAAATAAATAAATAAATTAATGAGACTGATATGGCCGCACAAAATCATATGAAGGTAAAAAAATGACAGTAATACTGGGAAAGATTCTTGGATCAAAAATGGTAAAGAAGAGAAAGATAAATACAAAGACTTTAATAAATTAGTTGACTGATGTTGTATTTTAATAGTTTGTGAGATATTAATAAATTGTTCCTAACATTCTTTTTCATGAATACAGGCAGAAACTGCTTACTTTTAATAGAGATCTTTAAAAAAAATTTTAAATTTACTAGTAATTTTACCAGTAATCCTATTGGTTAATTATCTAAAAAGGAAAAAAATATAACAACTTAGTATAACATTTCCTTTTTTAAGTATAATTTATCTATATATAATAGGATCTTCAAAAATTCTTAATTATAAATTTTACCTTAAGTTTCCATCTTTCTGATAACCTATCTTATAAGTAAGTGGAGTTTTGTATAGGCATTCTAAATCTTCTTTTAGAAATTTTAGATAAAATTATTGTGAATAGCAGATATAACCTTATATATGGAAGAGCACAGAATATTAAGATCAGAAAAAATATTTGGAAGATGCGCAGATTAATGTTGCTACTTAAAACTCATTTAACAATAAAATTCAAAAATCTGAAATTCAAAAACTTTATTTTTAATGAAAAAATTGGATTCAAAACTTTCCTAAACTATAATTAATTTCAAAAAAGCATAAAAATAATTTTAACAATTAAATTTATTATAAAAAATAGTTTCAGATTGAATTTTAAATAAACTAAAATTTTGAAAAAATAGTTTTGGCAAGCATTCTTAGCGTAAGTATAAAATCTTAAACTATATTATGTGCAGATCAGTTCATAAAAGAAAAGAACTAATATAACATATTTCTAAAATACATAATAAAAGAAGCAGAATTAATAATAGACAAGTTAGCTATATCAACAATTTTTTGTGTTAGATATTTTAGTTGCAACCATTAAACCAATCTTGATATATTAAACTTATTAATAAAATCTCAATATTTTGTAAATCAGATTTTATTTTAGATCAATTACAGTCAACTCTCTTTATAGTCACACATTTGGGACAGTCCATATTTGGTGATTATAAAGAGATGTGACTATATATAAAATTTCTTATATTTGTATATAATAATTCCAGCCAAAAATTAACATAATTTTAGCTAAAATTATACTTAAAACTTTATTGTATCGTAACTTCGCCAATATATGTAATAAATTCATTTGGATCTTGATCAAGATTATTTATATATAATTCTTCGCCAAAATGTTTATAGAGGCCAACAAATGGAAGTGGAATTCCTGGAGGCAAACGAGGAATTGGATCACCACGAACTATAGTTCTTACTGATTTTAGGGTCTCATCAACGTATTGAGCAAATAATACATCACCAGTTCTTGGTTGACCAAATGTAGAAAGAAACAATTGTTTCATTATTAGCTAATTCTGGCACTTTTTGCACAAAATCTAATGCTGAAAATGTAGCAAGTGCTATAATAAAAAAGAAAAAAGACTATTAAAAAGTATATGTAATTTTTTTAGTTTATTGAACTTACCACCACCTAAACTGTGACCCATAAATCCGATCCTGAAATCGAGTCTTTCTTGGTGTAAATTTACAACATCATCGGTAACATCGGGTTGCATTTCGAGAAAAGCATTATAAAATCCACGGTGTACCCTAAGACCATCTGTAGAATGGTAATCTTTCGTTATAAAGTTTGCGTCAGTAAAGAGATTTTTAAAACTTCCTGGTACCGTTCCTCTATATAATATGACGATTAATTTTTGTGATTCAACCAAGGCTATGAAAGCTACATATTTATTATTTTGTTAGTAAACGCAAGAAGTTAACGATGTGTGGCACAGTAATAAATTTAACGTTGTCAATTAGTTTAACCAATTTGGTACCCGCAGTTGCCTGGCAGACTTCTCCACAGTCCCAATTATCAAGAGGAACCTTACAATAAGCAGCAGCAGCGTAATTAGCAAAGCTCCGTAAATCAGTGACTGAAAGAAAGATGGTGTTGGAGGAGCTTCGATTAATACTGATAAAAAGATTAAAGAAATTAAAGAAACTAATAATGTGTGTTGTAAAAGAGGTATGCGTGTATTTGGTAGGAGTCGCTCTGCAACTTGAGGAAATAATGTTTGCTGCTGCATTGCTTATTGCTTTACAGAAGGAAATGAATGTTTTAGTATAATGATTTAGTTAAAAGAATGAAATGCTGTCAGAGGAAAAAACACGTTCCTTTATACATTTTTTTGAGATATTCAAGATCGCGTTTTTTCTTTACTATCACGAACACATTGAACACACCGAACATTAAAAAAATTTTTATATTTTATTGCCTTATAAAAACTATCAAAATTTCAAGAAATTCATTTTTAGATATTACAAAATATCGAGTAAGAACGCGATCATGAACGTTAAATTTTATTTGTCCTACATCTATGAAAAATGATCATTTTGTATATAAAGGGCAATACAATTAAAATATTAACGAATTCCCGAAATTGCATTTGATGTGGGACAAAATAAAAATTTTGAATCACGATGGTAGTCTCGGTATTTAGCCATATTATACTTATTTTGCAATTTATACTTTCCATAATATTTACCGGATGGTAGCTGTTCCCGTAAGGCTCTGTTCCCGTAGGCTCACAGTAGGCTCTTTATAGATAAATTAGAATTTTTTTTTTACCAGTTTTAGAAGTAGAATTACAATCAATTATAGCTTAATATTTCATTTTATAAATATTTTTTTCAAACTAAAGACATGTATGTAATTTCTAAAAATCATTAATAAAATTTAATGTTGCCGGTTTTTGTTAATTAGTTAATGTGGGTAATATATATGTTAAAATTAATAAAACAATTGAAATAAAAGAAATACTAGAAAAAAATATATCATTATAAAAAAAATAGTTATTTAGTAACTGAAATAAAAGAATTAAAATTTAAAGATCCCAGTAAAAAGTCATCGTATGAAAATCATTGATATACTTGTACTGTATATCGAATTTTATTTTTTATAAAAATTAAATGTGTTTAATAGCACAATTTTCAATATTTAAAAATAATTTACTGACTGTTAAATTTTATTACGCATTAATCGCGTTATGTACTGTGTATATTAAACAAGGACACTTGTCCAAAGTCCAAACACAAGTGTCCTTATAACTAACCATTCTAAATGTAATCTATAGTCTATACTATTACAAACAAAACACAGAAAAGAAAAAAAAACAGAACCAAAAACAACAAATACATTTTAAAAGAAGAAAAGAATTAAAACTAATTTTTCGCAAAAGGGTTATACTAACAAAATTGAAGTCAAAGCAACAATGGTGCTGAAAAAAGCTATTTGTATAGCATGTCCTTTATCATACACTACTTGCTAAACATAGGTGTGTAGTAATAACTCTTCTCTTCTACCTGAACTTCTACTTTACCAGACTAACAAAGAGCAACTAAAAAATATAATGAAAAGAAATTGACATGATTGCAACCTAAATCCCATTCTCGGGTGATAGGAATATCAACAAGGCCGTCTTTGATAAATCTTACTTATATTTGATGACATCCATTAAGCCTCTACTTGAGAAAGTGTAACCGATTTCCTCATTCGTCCATATATTTAATACCTCTTTCTCTGCAATGGCTTATATCAAGGTCTAGTAGATATCATCTAAACTGAAACAAAAGTAAAAATAAACTCAGGAAGCAACTGATACTATACAAACATCAAAAACCATCAAGAACTTTGGAAAGCACAGGTATGATGGTGTACTGTATATATATATATATAATATATATATATATATGGAAAGCTAAATTCTATCAAACACTAAAAAATATTGTATAGTTCTATCTATAACTGCTCAAAAATATTCCTAAAAAGTATTAAATATGTCAATTTATCCTAAACCATCTGACAACAATAATAATGAACATTAAAGGAAATATTCCTAAATCCTAATTAAAGAAGATATAACATTAGTTTAAAGAATTCAACAATTCAACAATAAAGAAAAAGGATTACTATCAAACACTTTTACAGAGATCTAGAACAAAACTTTCATCATCATTAGTTTTAACTTAGAAATGGAAGAATCATTCACAATAATGTTATAAAACAACTTTGGAATTATCTTTCAAACCAAATGGTTAAAGAATTGATGATTTATGATTATGATTTAATCTGAATTGATAAATAAATATGATCAAAATCAAGAATTTTTAGAATTAACGCGATGTTAACCATTTATTCTTACACGAGTGGTATGAAGTTTTGTTATTTTATTTATTTATTTATTCAATAAATATTTAATCTTATTTTATCCTTTTTTTTTTTAGTTACCTCGAATGAATATACTTACCGTCGGAATTAGTTACGGCATATGAAGCTTAACCCGTAATATATTAAATCGCCGTAATGCCGTAATTATTTAATATCAATACTAGCAGTAGCCCGTTGCTTTGCACCGGGATTAGTAAGTTGTTTTATATTAATGTAGTAATGAATAATGAAAAGAAAATTATGATATATGTTTAAAAACTTCAAGTTTTATTATTGTTCATAATTAAAATCTAAAGGAGTGTAAATAAATGATAATAAAATAAAAAATAAATTTAATAAATTTAAAAAAGGTGATAAAAAAAAGGCTAAGATGGAGTTCTTAGAGCTTAGAAAACATCTCTTTTCATTTGCTAGAATTTTTTTTTGTATATGATGGCACAAAAATTTTCTTATGTGTGAGATAAACTTTTTTTTGTATATTTGAAAAATGTAGTATTATTATAGCATGTTTAAATATTTTGAAAGATTTCATTATATACAATGTTTTTGGTCTGAAGAAATATATTAATAATGTATTATATTGATAAGAAATTAATATAAATTTTATTTATTGTATAAAGTAGATGTTACAGTACTGTAGAATATTTATTGATATTAGGAGAAAAAACGCTAAAAAATCTTTATCTTTATTACACTGAATTATTATTATCGGGAGAAAAAAATTAATCATATCGGCTGATCAGAAAAGCCTCCCATAATTTTAAATGCTAATGACATTAAGTAACCCATCAGTTATATAATGAACCCATCAACTGAGCTTAAATATTAATTGGCTTGATTTTTCCAATCAGCCGATATGTTATGTATGAAAAATTAATATGAAAAAATTCCATTAGGGAAAACGCCAAATAATACTTTTATATACTAAAGTCTATTAAATTGATCTATTATTATGGGGAGAAAAAAATTATATGAAAAAATTTCATTATCCATTATAGAAATTTATCATCATTATTATTAAAAAAAAGCTAATAATCTATCTATTCTAATAGTTATTTGTATTAGTAAAATGCCAGAAACTAAAAATTGGTATTAGCAATCACAAATTTGCCGATCAAAAACATTAAACACTTAAGTATAGATCAGGCGCAAATCTGGCGCAGGGGAATGATGCGTTGCACAACTCAGAAATTTATATAAATATCGAATAACGGTTTCACAGGAATTTTTTTAATAAGATAGAGATACAAAAATTACACAAAGAAAGTAATATTTTTTTGTAATCCGTAATCTATGATGCTGATCTTGATGAATTTGTTAGATATTTAAATGGTAAAATCCCTATTTTGTAATTCCGTAATTTCAATTCGGCAATTCCGACGGAGCCTATACGAATGAATGAATGAATATCCAACTAAATTTTTTTTTGTCGATCATTTTAAGGTTACATTTTATTGATTACAAATTGATTTTTATTTTTAATATCTGTTTCAAGTGCATATTAATTTTATTATTTTCCTTTGCATTCTTTTCTATAGCTTCCTATTATTATTTTTGGATTGGGGAACTATTTTTGCTGTTGAAGCGTTCTCCGACATTGCATTACGAATATTGGATTCATTTAATGCTTGTAATTTTTTACGCCTTTTCTCCCCAATCAGTGGTGAAACGGGTTTGGTTACTTTTCGGTTTGCAAATTCTATTTTGACGGGCGCATACCTTTTGGCTGGCTGAGCATGGTGTATTAATTCAGTTCTCAATTGACGAATTTGTTGTTTATTACGTTCCTTAATATAATTTTTAAATGTATTTCGAATTTACTTATGATCATCGTGTTTCAAATATAAATGTTTTATATATCGTACCTCCTCTATTTGTTTTCGTTCTTTTAGTATCTTTTCTTCTTGGTCACGTAAGTTTCTCTGTTCATCATATGTTTTGCGTTTTTCAAGGCGTGCATCAGTATGGAGCTTAAATCCAACAACTTCTGTTATAGGTTTAGCTGATTTTCTTGGACGGTAAGGTAACAAATTAGGTGTTGGTTTTGCTCGAAATGATAAGTCGTCCTTTTCTCGTTTATTTAATCCATTAATTTTTTTGCGAAAAGACTGTTGATATTTCTCTCCTCTTATATCAGTTCTTAGTTTAAATGGTTTAGTCGTAGTAGTAGTAGGTAACGGAAGAACAGTAAGCAAAACCTATAATAAGAAATAATTAATTATAATACTTTACAGTAAATATATTTTGTCAAGTAACTTACATCAGGTGAACCACTAGGAAGTGGTGGAGCCTTAAATTTACGCGCCTTTTCTTGCTCTTGTGCCTCCTTCTTTAATATTGCTTCTCTTATTTCTGCTTTACGTTGTGAAATTTTTTCTCCCGGAAGTGGATATTTGGGAGGATCCATTTTTCGATGTGCTACAATAGGCTTGAAAGGCTGAAGTACCGGATTTGCTTTAATAATACGAGGTGGTTTTGGTTTTGTTATATGTGGAGATACTGGTATTGTGATTTTCGGCTTAGTTTTCTTGACGCGCCCAGATTTGACATCACTTGAATCAACCGGTTTTGATTGCACCTTATCATTATTAATCTCATTTTCCTTGTTCGTCATCCTATAGAAATTATTATAAAGTATTATAAATATTTAACACATAAAATGGAGAAAACCTCTTTATTTAATTAAGTTTACTTGATCCTTTCAGCTCTTAATTTGGTGCGCAAGAATGGAGACTTCGCTTTTGTAGGAAGATTAACATAATTCGATGCAGACTATAAAATTTAAATTTTTTTAGCTTAGTTAAATTTAATTTAATTATAACTATCAGAAATGACATGTTCCCTCACTCTCAGCTTTGATTTGAATCTGTCTGGAGTTTTTTCCAAATATTGTTGTATACGCTCTGCCAATGAAATAAATGGTGATTTTGGTGAATATTTATTTATCACATTAGGACGCTTCCTCGTGTGAAATCTGAAAGGTTTAGGAATTGTCAAAACTGTGCCAGGCTTTTTGATAGGTTGCCGTTTCTTAAAATATAAATAACAAAGGTATTGACTATTGACTATTTGAATAAAAATATGATTAAGTATTATACAAATATTCATACCCGAATCCCTTGAGATTTACGACCAAGGTAATTTTTTACTTGCTTGGCAGTATTAGTAGGTATGATATTAGCCTTGTTCACAGCTTTTTTCACAATTTTTACAACTGGTGGCCCATTTTCTTTATTAGCAACGGCTTTTACGTCGAGATTATAATCAAGAAACTTTATTTTGTTTGGTTCTTTCAAAGGACTCTTAGTAGTAAGTTTTTCAACTTTCTTTGAATTGGCAAGATTTAATTGATATAGCACACCGTTAACCCCATTTAATACTGGAGTGAATGGAACATTCTTTGACGGTGTAAAAAGGGGTTGTCCGGTTGCGGAACTTGTTGCAGAACCTATGGAATTTAGGAAACGTGTAGTTAATAAAATTAATAACAAAACCATATTAATGCTTCGAAAAAAAAATCCGTTCAATGTACCAAAATAAGAGTCTCCTTCACCAAACGTTACGTCGTTATTAAAATCCTTATAATGTGGTGCAAGGAAAGAAAATGTGCGTTGCGAGTTCGGCGTTTCAATTTCTATGTTTTCGAACATTATTATTTTATAGTTGACGCGTTTATGGAACGAAAATACAGAAATAAACAAAGGAAAGTAGGTTGCAAATGGTAAAAATTGTATGAAGGAAAGTAGGTTGCAAACAGTAAAAATTGTATGACCCTTTGTGTTTAAATAATAAAAATATCCAAGATATGTAACACGGTTACGTCGTAATCAGTATTGTTTATATTGTTTATTACGGACGGTACGGACGGACGCACGGACGCGACAAAAATTTGCAAGACTTTTGCAAGACGCGCGAATTTGCGTCACATGTTTTATTTGTAAATGATTGGTGCTTTTAATATACCGTATTTCCCAAAATTAAGCACCCCTTAATTATTATTACATGTATAAATTGTTTGCTAAGATTTGTAGTTAATATCCAGAACAATTGAATTAGTAACATTTTGGCCAAATTTAAATAATCAATTTATTAAGGCAAATACCATAGAAATTTAGATTTTTCTTACTCATTTCAAGTACCAAGAACTGCCTATTATTTAGACTTTTTATAAATTATAATATAGCTTTTTAAAATATTCTTATAATGTCCTGAAACATATTAATCATTAGACTATATATAGTGTCTTGGTACATACATATTAATTAACAAACTATAGTATATCAAGTTGGCTAACCTTTTATACCTATTTGAATGCTTAGTTCTATATTGAGAATGCTGGCCTCTTGTGCCTATTTGGTTCTCTATTAAAATACCAAAAAAATTTGTTGAGTAACACAGTAAATTTATGTTATTACCTAGTTATGTGTAGAGTTACTACTTACTATACCAAATAATCATATAAAAAATTAAGATTTGCTATATTCAATTGTATTAAGTTCATATTTATAATTATGACAGCCCAAAATAATTTGAATAACATGTACACTCCCCGGTAAAAAGTATCCGACCACCCTAAAAATTAAAAAATCTTAAAAAATTCAGTGGGCCCAACAATAAATTTATATTTATTTTAAAAGTTTGAGACATGAGACACTTTTTAAAAGTGTTTTTTTAGCTTAATTATTAGTAAAAATTGGCGGACATTTTTAATTCTAAAAATGGCAAAATTCTTAACTTTTTAACTAGAGCAGTTACGGCCAAATGAATTCCAGAAATCAATTCTTTGACTAAAAAATAGCTTATGTTTAAAAAATCAGAAAGATTGGACTGGTAGTTGCCGAAAAATCCACCACTGAAGATCATAATTTTTATACTAAAATTTGGCAAAAATGGTGATTTTACCGTTTTTACATATAAAAATTATGATCTTCAGTGGTGGATTTTTCGGCAACTACCAGTCCAATCTTTCTGATTTTTTAAACATAAGCTATTTTTTAGTCAAAGAATTGATTTCTGGAATTCATTTGGCCGTAACTGCTCTAGTTAAAAAGTTAAGAATTTTGCCATTTTTAGAATTAAAAATGTCCGCCAATTTTTACTAATAATTAAGCTAAAAAAACACTTTTAAAAAGTGTCTCATGTCTCAAACTTTTAAAATAAATATAAATTTATTGTTGGGCCAACTGAATTTTTTAAGATTTTTTAATTTTTAGGGTGGTCAGATACTTTTTACCGGGGAGTGTACAGTATATTTCAAATTTTGAACTTAATGTATTAAATGTAGTGAAATGTATAAATAAAAAAGAAATCAATATAGAAGTATAATTATAAAAGTTTATATATTAATTGTGATCTTACTTTACTCATAAGTAATATTTATTCTTATTTTAGCAATTAAAAAAGAAGATTAAATTGCCAATTAAGTTATAAATTATTTTTTTACTGTTAAAAATTTTACAATAATTAAATATTTCAATTTTAATTTTAAAAAATAAAAATAATAAGATTAATAATTTTAAAAAATTACATATGTATATATTTTTATATAATAAATACTTTATTAATAAATTAATGCATCTAATTAATAAATATTATTGGAAAATGGATCTAAAGGAATTTTTTAAACTTTAACTTATAAAATAAAAGTTTAGTTTTATAAAAATAATTTAAAAGAATATTACAATAATTTTTTAATATTTTTATAATTGTTTTGTTATTTATAATATAATTAATTTCAATATTATTTTAAATATATTAATTTCAAAAATACTTCAATTATATTTTAATATATTTTAAAATTTATAAAATAATTGCACAATTATTTTAAAAACTATTGTATCTAGGTTTATAATAATATTTTAAAAAATTAGTAATTTTTTGTACAAAGCTAAAATTAATTTAAAATTAAAAAATTATTTTGGCAACATGTATAATATTAATAATATTAATATATTACTATATTTAAAGTTGTCTTTTGAATTAATAAATTTAAAAATATTTTAAATCAAAATTTTTTTAATTTTTTTTATATAATTTTTAATTTAAAAAATAAAAAATATTTATTTAAAAATATTTTTATATTAATTTTATTAATTTAAAATATAATTTAAAAATTCTAAACTGATTTAGAAAAATAACTATAAGTTTAAAAGAATACTATAATAATTACTTCTAATATTTAAAATAAAAAATACAAAAATATACAAATTAATTAATTATCTTATATTAAATAAAATTTTTATTAAAATTAAGCATCATAAATTTTCATATTATAAAATATTAATACATATATAAGAATATTCTGGAACTTTATTGTTTTTACTTAATAAATAGTAAAATTTTTGCATAAACTTAATATTTAATTATTTTCAATATAAAAAAAAAAGAATAAATATATAACTTGCTCTTTTATTATAATGCTTAAATTTTGAAACAAAAATTTGTAAAAAAAAAATTTTTACTAATATACAAACGTTTTAAAAAATTGTATATGTATTTTTGCCTGCTCTGCAAATTACTTCAAATATTACTAAAATGGGTTTGAATTACTTTTAAAAATCACAAAAATTTAGCAAAATTAATGATAATTTGGCATTTATTTTATTATAGCTATTCTGGTCTAAAATACAAATTTTACTGATTTTTTGCTTCTAATTATTAAGAATTAACTATTTTATTATTTAATTGTAAATAGTTGGCCACTTTTGATAACCCACTGTAAGTAAATACTGTAAATATTATATAATATAATACCATATATGTGATATCTATCCACTTACCATATTGAGTTTTTTTAATTCCGGGCGATTTTCTTTGCATGCTTCTAACATGTACATTTATCATTTTCTCATATATAATAAAAAACCACAAATTACGTCGTTTTCAAACGATTAATTCTATTATGGGTCTTTTAAAGCTTTATCAGATTCACATTGATTTATATTTGGATAGGTCTTGTACGTTTATTGAAGATCCAAAAATAAATGCGCAATACAGTACATTACTACAACAAGTAAGAATTTCAAAGTATAAATTTACGTGCCGAGAAGAATACGAACCTGCGCCTCGCACAAAATTTATCTTTTGAAAATGATAACCAACTTACACTTCAAACGATAATTATTATTTAGTACAATATGTTATTTAGTTAATGAAGGTGAAGATATTGTAGTTAAATTACAATCTTCAGTAGTTGTAACTGTTATTTGTTCGAGTTGACCACTATTAAGATCTGTATTATTCGATGTATTCGGTTTTATCTTCCAACCTCCATTTAAGTGATATTGTATACCATTTAAAATTCCTCCTGAATTTACCGATATACCAAATAATATGAATGTCCACACACTTCGATCCTGTAACAATATAAAGAAATTATTTATAGTTTGGAAAATTAAACGTTACAATTATAAAAACAACTTACATGATTTAAACGCGTAATATGATAAGGAAATGAAAAAACCCTATAAAATTTAAAAAGATTTATTATTATTATTATTTTTTAATTTATAATCTAAAAGATAAAAATATATGACATCCAACTTACCATTGAAGCACAAAAATAATAATATAAGTAACAACTTTCGTACCGAATTTATAATTGATTTCAACTAATTTTTTATGAGTTACATCAGTTACACCACTCTCTTCCGATATAGTTTTTTCTATTAAATTAATTTTAAGCATAACTTTAATGTAACAAAAAAGAGTTATGATGATGATGGCAGAAGTACTAAATAAAACCTTATATGAAACTTTTTTATGTGAAGAAGCACACCACCACGTATCATTCCCATAATCATTTGATGAAAATGATGCCAACAATACTGATGATATTAATACGACTAAGATCAATTTCCAATCATATGGTCCCAATAGAAAATATTCATTTCGACACACTCTAAAAATATTTCTAGTAAGTTAGTAGAGTCAATTACCAATATTTCTTTTTAATTTCTATTATAGTGAAAAAATAACAAACCTTACGTATATAAAAATTGATAACATTAAAGATAATGTCATATTTAGGTTCATGAAGAGGTTGGATGCAAACCCAATAATTCCACATATTGGATCAGGCCATGGATGGTGGAAAATCAATGTGAATAACTATAAATAAAAGGGATTTATTTAAATGTTTAACACGTTTACTTTTATAAAAAAGAATATTATCTACTTACGATATTTGGAAAATTCATTGTATAAAGCAATAAATCTAATTCATTAGATATTATTAGATAATTATAATACGAAATTTACTTCTACACTTTTAAAAAATAACAAACCGGTGATCGCAATGTAGAATGGAATTCTTAGTGTCATAGGAACCAACCTTGTTGGCGCAGCTCTCCATCGACGAAACGTTCCAAAAAGTACATAAAAGCAACCTTATTTCAAAAAATAAGTAAATAAATAAAAATAAAATAACAATCAGTAACTTCTTTAATTAGAGGAAGACTTTGGATTCTCAAATTTACCAGCAAGACTTAATTGATTACAAATTATACATGGTATTGCTAATATATATAAACCAGTTCTATCATTATTTGGATAATTAGGTGCGATAGAATAAGTTCTATTCAATTGTTGTGAGGAGACCTTTTGAATAGACATTAGCAATATAATTAATAAAGAACATGATGATCTAGGATGGAGCGTTTTCATTGCGGAGGGAAGATTTATACGTTTTTCATGTGTGGTAAAATATGTTTTCGGACATTCAGAAAACTCTTTAATGACTGTACGGGTTAAGAAAGAGAAGGTTATTAAATTAATTATGTAAAAAAGAAAATATTACTATGGACTATATATTAACTTTTTTGTTTTTTACAGAACGCTATGATATATAAATTAATTAATTAGCCACCAATTATTTTAAAAGTGCAAGTTGTCATTTTTACGTTATGTAGTCATGTAGATATTCACCCTGCTTAAAATTTGTTAATCTCGGAATAGCACAATAAATTTTGGTTAAAACCATTGACCATTTGATTATTACTGTTTACCAAAAATCTCTTGAATGATACTTGTCTAAACCAATTATCGATAGATTCGCTCATGTACGCAAGATTTTCTATGATTTTGACTTTATTGAATATTTGAATTTCATGGATTGTCATTATTTAATTGCCGTTCCTTCATAGGCAGGAAAAAATATTTTTCGATGTTCAAGAGGTTGTACTAAATTTCATTGGCAGGAATTTTATAATTCCGACAACCAGGAATTAATTTGCCAAGAGATTTTGATGAGCATTGGACAACGAAATTCTTGCGCAAAGTAAATATTGGAAGATAATTATTAAAAGTAATTAAGTGCATTTTTTTTGAAACATTAGAACCCAGAAAAATATAAATCGCCATTTGTAACACATTATATGCTGATTATACATGACGTTTACACTAAATTTTATAAATTGGTTAATCTTATATAGAACAACAATGATAACTTTTGATCGAGCGGTAACAACAACATTCGTAATCAAACAAATGTATCTTTTTTTGTTTTTAAAATTTTATTAATGTCACACAAATGAATCAACTTTACCATTGATTATTCACCGAAATTTGCAATAATTTTGGCCGTATTATCCACATTAGAGGAATTATTGGCCAAACTTCCTTAATCTTCTTTAAGGGTAATTAACGTATAGCCTAAAGTCGCTAAAACGACAAATATTCGCGTTAATTTTAATGTTTCCCTTTAAAGTGTAAATCACATTTGTGCAATATTTAGAATTTAATTATTAAACAAAATTTAATTCATAATATAAAATTTTAAAAAAAACATACGTTAATTTTGTGCTGCAAATCAGGTATTCTAACAACACAAGACATTTTGGGTTTGTAAAAAAAAAGCCTTTTAAGTCAAATTAATTTGATGTTTTTTTGGGCGTACCTGAAATAGTTGTTTCAAAAAATCACATTTTTCGATGATCTTAATTATTTATTTATATAGTGTTCTAGACATTCTATATTTTTCTATTAAAATCATGATTATGCAATTCATGTTGCTCTACCGTTTAGTTTACCTTAGGAGAACTGTTTGAAGTTTAGATAAGGCAGAAGGCTGAAACTACTCAGTAAAATATTTATTTTCCGTGGGATAATATAAATGATCCATTAAATTATGTGACCGAAAAAAGTCGGTTTTGGTTTTGTTAATTGGACGGATCACAATCCTTAACCTCCCGTAAATGTTCGTTAAACTGCTTGAGATTTTGGTATTTTTATTCTCATTTTTATGCGATTTTGAAAAAGTTATCCGAAGTTCAGATATAAATTTTACATTGCAAATTTATGGTGTAATTCATGAAATGTAAAGAACATTCGGTATATATAATAATAAATTGGTCAAATCATAATGAATTAATGAGTTTAATTGACCGTAATTAGGAATTGCATGAACTTCTCCATCATTATCTAAGTAAGTATATTATAGTTCATTTCAATAGTTTACAAAATAAATCAAGAATAAATAAAGAAAATATTTTTCGTCATTTGTAAATAATAATTCTCATTTTGTTATTCAAAATAAGTTGGTTAACCCCAAATGTATGTTGTTATATAAGTTTGGAAATTTAATAAAAATAAAAATAAAAATTCAATAATCATGTATGAAAATAATAAATTGGTCAACATGATCGTCAGAAAATCAATTCTAATTTTACATACGGCTATCTTGGTTTAATGTTACTTTTTGAACATTCACCTCTTGATGTTGACTTGTTGCTACTTCTTGATTTCTCACTTCTTGATTAACATTCATTATTTGTAAGTTATCATCCTCTTTAATGTAATGAAAAAGATTATTGTGAAAGAATAATTTGAATTAATTTCATTTTGATAGTTTTCAAAATAAATTTTCTTTAAAAAAAAAGAATAAAGGAGATTCTTGTAATTTATAAGTAATAATTTTCATTTGTTATCTAAAATAAAAGAACAAGTTAATTTGTAATTATAGTACAATTACTATCTTTATATTGTTATTTAAGTTTAAAGTTTATTATAAACCAAAAATTTATAATAATAAAAATTCAGTAATATAAAGTAACTTTACTATTTTTTGATTCTCAAAAAAATAATTGTAAAATAAAAGAACCTTTTTAACCTTTAATTTTAATAATAATAAATTTTACAAAAAAAAAATCCTAACTTTTTTTTGTTTTATTAACTATTACAATTAGCTATTAACAAACTTTAATAATAGTTTAAATGTTAAAAAAATATTTTATTAATGTTAAACTAATTAGTGATATCTACTTAAACTCTTTTTGTCAAAAATTTGGTTTTCATCATCAACTAATTTTAGTTTATTATTAACTAAACTATATAGTAATAATGTTAAGTATTAATTTTAGTTTATATATAAAAATTATAATTTTATTATATATAATAATTTTATAAATTTTTTTTATATTTTAATAAAAATTTATATATAATTATTTTATAAGTAATTATTGTAATTAAAAATCTATGAAAATATTATAGATTTAATTTTAATTATCTAAACAACTGTATTTTACTAAAAATAAGCAAGTTTTGAAAATATACTTATATAATATTTGAAAACAAGCAATTTGTAAAAATTTATTGAAATTTTTTTTAAAATTTAACCAAATATATAATAAATATAATTATTGTTAAAATAATATTTTAATAAAAAAAATAAACTATTGGAAATTATTAAAATATTATTACTTTTATTAGCAATTTTATTTAAATTCACCTCTTTAATAAAAGTAACTATTAATGACCATTGATGCATTTTTTACATTATTAATATAATGACCAGTTATTTTGGACATATCTTCATAAAAATCATAAGCTTGAATATGATTTTAATATAGCAATTTGCAATATTGTACTTTTAAATTATAAATAATACCTTAATCTAATAGTTGAAAAAATGATATTGTATTTGATAGTAAAAAGTAAATTTTAATATTTGAAAAGCTATTGATATTTTCAGATTCATAACATCTAGTATTATTTATTAGTTGCTGATTTTTTCTAAGCATTTTGAAATTTAATCTTTCAAGATAATATTTGAAAATACTTCTTTGCATTCAAATTTTAAAGTTCTAATAATACCAAATAGTGAGAAATTTTTTTTTAATTCCTTTTCATATTTATAAATAAAAACTAAAGATAATTTTTCATCATCAGAAGCATTACAAGTTGCTAAAATATTAACATATTTTTTAGAATATTTTTTACCAAATACAGAATCATGTGCTATTATTTTAGATGGTTCTAAATGCCAAAAAAAAGCAGTTTTATTGCAATTTCAAATATCTTTTAGTTCATATACTTAAAGAATTTCTTGTAATTCAACTCTTATTTGTGAAAGTTTATTAATAGAAGCACTGCCAGTTTCTTCTTTTTTTTATATATATGCAAATTATTTCTCTGTTTAAAGTTACTTAACCATTCTGCAGATGCTGAAAAATTAGTAATATTGTTATTCTATCAATGATTAAAGCTGACTGAAAAACTTTAATGCTTTAACAGGTTAACTGGAGTTTAATTTAATAAGATAGTCTTAAGTTGACCATCAATAATCACGTGAAATAATGTTAGATGTTCAGTTAAAGAAAATAGATTTTATTAAAATAATGTAAGATTTTAGATACGAAAAATATAGATAATCTCTTGGTTGCAAAATTAACTATCTTGAATTATACTATTGGGAATAATACTCTTTTCATATAATTCAAATACTACAATAGTATGATTCTTACCTATCTGTAAAACTAACTGTAAAACTGATTAACTCCCCCTTCAACTTGGTAAAATGCTAACACTATTTATAATAAAATAAAAATTAAAAATATTTGATAAAATAAATAAAACAAGCATAATAAATAAATAAAATAAAATAAATATAATAAATAAATAAAATATAACAAATAAAATAAATAAAATTAATAAAATAAACAAATATCAAATATATCAAATTTATCAGATTTATCAAATAAATCAAGAAAATCAAGAAAATCGAAAAAATCAAAGGATCTATGAAATGATCTGCAAAATGATTTACATAAAATTACTGCGCTAATATCAAGTAAGTTAGCATATTCTACTGCTTTTTATTAGATAATAGGCCTATTAATAGAAATTTATTAATCAACCCAAATGCTCATTACTTTTTCTAATCATGGATAAATACTAGATTTTTCACAAAAATTATTGCATTTAGTAAAATGGTATCAATAAAAAGTTAATGTTCTGATTTTTTTAAAATATCAATCAAAAACTATACTAGTGGAAATTCTATATTATACTACTAATTGAACACCACTAAGTTTTTGATCTCTTTATTTTTCACAAAGTTCTTTCTTTTGTACTAATATTAAAGATTTTTAAGATTTCTTCATTTTATTATTTGTATCTTTATTAGTATTTCATACGAATCAAATTTTTTCTCTAAAATTTAATTTGATTTAAACTCGATTCAGATTTGATTTGATCTCTAAAAATAATTATTTCTGGATCTAGTAATCTAATTTTGATAATCTTTTTTTTAATTGATAACTCTTATTGTTCTGATCAAAATAAAAAAAATCATTAAAATCAGACTGTTAGACCAAAAGTTATTTGCAAAATACGTTTTTACTCTTTAAGAACAATTACAGTCAAATCTTGATATAGCAAACTTTTGATATAGTAAATTTTTCAGACAACTATAATAAATTTCCCCTTGCTATAACAAATTAACCAATCAAATTTCTTAAAATTTTTACTATAGTCCTATAGCAAAGTTGAAGTCTGAAATCTAAGGTTTGTTATAACTAAAGCTCCGCATGAGCTGAGCTGGCTCGTGAGCTGGCTCAAGCTTTTCAAGCTGAGCTGAACTGAGCCATGATTAAATTGGCTCAGTGGCTCGTGAGCCAGCTTGAAAAGAGCTCAAGCTGGTAATAGGTTCGACTCAAAAAGCTCAAGCCGGT